GTTTAAAAACTTCTGTGTAATTGAAGAGTTTTGTGCAGAAACCGCATAAGTTTATTTTTTTCGAAAATCCCTTTTTTATTGAAAATTTATCTTTAAATAAAGCTTTTCAATCTGGTAAAATATTACATATAAGTGACTAAACTCTAAACCCTTAAAAAAATTAAAATATCATTTCGTGCAGAAACAGCACAAGTCCATGATAAGTTTTATATTTACTTGTGATATTCTTGGAGTGTTTTAATAATTTATATTAAAAAGTTTATTATAAATAAAAAACACTCAAGGAAAGCAAAAAGTGATAGTGGTGACTAAATTATTTTAAAATTAGAAAATATTGAAAATTGGTTAAATTGATTCTTAAAACAATTCTATTATTTATAAAATGTTAATAAAAATGATCCAAATTTAATATTTTAAATAAATGTTATTAAATATTTAATAAAACTTTGATACTTTACTCGATTCAATAAATTTTCTTTGTTTTTCATTTCATTTTGTGCAGAAACAGGACAAGTCCAAATGTTAATTTTTTTTATTTCTTATATTAAGTAGATAATAAATTAATCATATTGGATTTTTTAACTTATAGGTTAATTCAGAAAATATGTTGAGAAAAATAAAATTACGAGTAACGCAGTACTCTTGGTAAAGGTTCGTAGACAACTGAAAAATCAAAGGGGAAAATAGGTAAAGAGACGTATATAGTCATTGCTCACACAGGCATACACCCACACAGTTAAGTTTCAGACCTAGAACGGCTGTACCGCAATAAAACAATATAAAAAATATCATTGTTAGATTTTTGGCACATCTGCAGTTTTTTCCTTTCCTATCACGCTTTTAGTTTATTTGCTTCTCAGGTCAAAAATACCAAAATTACAAACTTTCTCTTTTTGAAATCTACAAGATATTTTACTTTAACTGAAATATTCAACAAAACTATTATAACCATCTTATAGAATATATAAAAATACATTTTTTGGACAAAGATTTAATCATTTTTAACCCGTTTTATGACACAAAAAGAGAATTACAGAAATATGCAACATGGCAGCGGTTTTTTTTTAAACAAAAATTATTCTATAGATTTCCATCTATATAATATTTTGTTAATTGAATTTAACAGATAAAATAAAAAAAACTATAAAAACAATAGATAATTTTTGGGGTATTTAGTTTTTGTTTTATAATGAAAATTTTTAATTCTATAATTTTTTGATTAATTTCGATATTTTTCAATTTCAGAAATTCAAAATTGTATTGTTTTTTAACTAATCTCCCGATGAGTGTATAAGTGTGTTTCAACAATTCATTTTGACATAAATCTTTGAAAATATTATAACTAGCAAAATGTTTTTCTACCAGTTTATATGAATATGTATATAGGTTTCTTTGGGGACAACTTTTTGTAAAAGATATAACTGAACTAATTTTTGTAGCAGATCATTTTAAGCTCGGTATAAAAATGAACAGAAGAGAACTAATTTCCAGTTACTTAAAATAAATCTCGTCTGGATTGAATGTTAGAACTTTGTGTTTTTTTGTTTCAATCTTTAGAATATTAAAAAAAATGATAATTTTTAGTATATTTTTGATCTTTTATACCCACATGCACATTTATTATTAAATTTTAAATAATTGTGATAATTATTGCGCTTTCTTCAATTTGAAAATCTAATGTCAGATAAAAATGCATCGAATTAAAGAATCTTTATACACCAATTTAGAAATGTTTGTTGAAATAACTTGGACGCATCATCCAGTTGGTTAAAGGCAGCCAGCAGGACGATTATCGTTCGCACCAGGAGCTACCTGTGTTTGTCTGTGTTGCTTCTCCTTTCTATATTAGTGAACATTCTATAGTCTTCTTGGGTTTTCTTCTATTCACCGCTTTTCAATAGCGAAGCAAATAAGTATCTATATACAATTTGATGATCCTTATTTTACGATTTTATAAGTTCCTTCATTCATCTATATATACCCAACGGGAAGTTGCCAATGTTAACGATTGGTTCAATAATGGGCCATGCTTGGTGCCCAATGGTTTTTTCTTGGCAAAACAATTGGCAACCATCATTGGACCACCAATGGTTTAAACTTGGGATGATCACGCTACTGCCAATGATCGGTAGCCAAGCATCGGGCCAATATTATTTGCCAAGGAATTGCCAAGGAAACAAAATCGATTTTCAAAAGCTTGATTTTTTATTGGCAGCCAACAAAAAACCAAGGTTTTGAAAATTGATTTTTTTTAATTATTAATTAAAATTTATTTTTAAAAAATATATTTTTCAAAAATTTATTTAAAAAAAATATATTTTTTTAAATTAATAGAACATATTAATTTAATTTGTCACCTCTGGTAAAACAAAGATGAAAGACTGATAAATTCCCTCACTTTATATTTTACAGTGGAGGGATGACTGTGAATGTCTTTGCGAGAGAGAAGCAGGTACTTATATAGAGCCAGTGAGAAAGGTCACAAGCGAGAAGAAATCACTAGCATGCACTCTGGCGGCGCTTGTCGGAAGTGGCGCAACGTTGGTTGCCAAGCGCTGTGTCGATAACGTCAGGATATGCATGCGCGCCAGAAAACAGCTCCGACAAGCGCCGCCAGAGTGCATGCTAGTGATTTCTTCTCGCTTGTGACCTGTTTCACTGGCTCTATATAAGTACCTGCTCCTCTCTCGCAAAGACATTCACAGTTATCCCTCCACTGTAAAATATAAAGTGAGGGAATTTATCAGTCTTTCATCTTTGTTTTACCAGAGGTGACAAATTAAATTAATATGTTCTATTAATTTAAAAAAATATATATTTTTAAAAAATATGTTTTTTTTAAATAAATTTTTGAAAAATATATTTTTTAAAAATAAATTTTAATTAATAATTCAGAAAAATCAATTTTCAAAACCTTGGTTTTTTGTTGGCTGCCAATAAAAAATCAAGCTTTTAAAAATCGATTTTGTTTCCTTGGCAATTCCTTGGCAACTAATATTGGCCCGATGCTTGGCTACCGATCATTGGCAGTAGCGTGATCATCCCAAGTTTAAACCATTGGTGGTCCAATGATGGTTGCCATTAATGTTCCAATAATGGAACGGAGTTCGCCAAGCATGGTCCATTATTGAACCAATCGTTTACTTCCCATTGGGTATGTCAGGAAAAAAAATATAAGAATGAATTTATTATATAACTATTTATAATTTTAATAAATACTGTTTTTAATTAAAACATCTAAAAAATTTTTAAAATGTAAATTTCATTAAAACTTTTATTTCTAATTTCATTGAAAGTAACATTAAAGTTTTACCCATCACCCTTGCTTACCGCACTCATGGATCCTTTAGACCCAGACTACTTTTGTCTTCGTTTCTTAGAATATATTTACTCTTTTTTCAAAAGCCACTAAATCCCTTAATGTTAAAAAGTAAGAAAGTAATGAAAATTTTTTATAAACTCGACTACCATTTCATAAAAAACTTGAGTGTGGTTAGTAAGGGTTAAATAAAACAATAAAGAAATAGTTATTTGCTTAAAATTATGCGTCTCCAATTAAAAATTATTGTCGTTGATATACTTCTTGAAAAAGTTGTTGAAAAAATGTAGTGGCATTGTGAAAGAAAATCATGAAAATCTGGCACATGGTGTCTGTTCTTTAACATTACAAGAGAAAAGCATTCCCCTCCAAGGGAAAGTATTCGGGAAAACAGCTCAATGTGGTTTATACACCAAATCGCATTCGTGGTTCTCGTTTATCTCCAATGTGAAACGGCTGCGTCGAATATTTTCTTTTACTGTTCCGATATAAAACATTTGGTTAGAGAGAATAAACTTTTCAATTTAATGGAAACATTATTTATTAAACAAAAAATATATTTTACCAAAGTTTTAAATTATCTTTTTATTCGTGTCTATAATGAAAAGTAAGTTTTCAACTATTTCTACTATTTAATAATTAAAAAAGTTAAAGCAGTATGAAATTTGTAAAATACTGCAGTTTTGTGGATGTACTGCAGTACATAGTGTAGCAACACTTATTAGTTCAAATTGATGCAAAAGAAAATTATAAGAAAAGTAGAATGTTTTTTTGAACTTCACAAAAAGTGTCCATACTATATAATGATTGTATAATATAATAGAGATTTTGACTGTATTCATTTTAAACGCAACAAATTCCCCCTCGTTTCGACTGTAAGAAAATCTAACAGTTCAATCATTCTGGGGTTGAAATTTTAATTCAAAACTATTTGTGTTTAATGTAGGACGTCCAAACGTATTGAGTCATATAACATTATAGAATTATGCTTATGATTAATGTCGATATCATTCAATCAAATTCGGAATGCATCAGGGTATGAAATTTGTGGAGCGGAACCCAAAATACAGTAGAAAAGCTGCGCGCACTTTTATTTAGATGTTCGATGTTTCACTAACAAGAGGGAAATTGCATGAAATTCGTGTAACGTTTCAAAAAGAAGAGCTTAATTTGCACAAAGTAACGTGTGCCTGACCCTAAATTTGATTTACGACCCTGCGCTGAATCTGTTATTAATTAATGCGAAATTACTCTTCTAATTCTGTCGATTCTTGGATTAGTTAATGTTTTCGTTTGCTCATTAGATTAAGCGCAGTGTTAAGTGTTTATTTGTAATGAAGTAAATGAAGAGAAGAATGTACGTACATTTAGCAATAGTGTTAGCCAACTATTCAGCCAGCAACTGAAACAAGCATTTAGTGGGGGAACTGGCAAGCTCTTGTTTTATTCAGTTGGGATCATATATTACCAGTTTAAACACACAATGAAAGACGCTTAACAAGAAGATAACGTGAGATTGAAAGGACACGCCCATAACACGCTCCTTTCTCCGAAAAGCACGCAGCGTTGACCAATCTCGCGGCAGCCCCGCCCACTAACCATCATTCGTGCTTTAACCAATAGACCAATCCTCACCCCTTGGACTCACTGCTCGACTAATGCACCCACCTATCCCGTGCTTTCAGCCAGGCATGATCCAAAGCATGAAGCGGGAAGTCGATTCCACCACTAGAAGAGAGCAGACACTCTCCCCGGTTTCGTTCGTGCGGCGTATTAAACTCACTGTCAGCCGAAACCCATCGACGAAATTTCATTTCTTTTCCGAATCCTTCTCGTGTGTTAATTGCGGTTAATTGTGATGAAATGAGTGTGCTCCGCGCGTCATAGTTGACTGTAGTGTTTGCTGTCGCATGGATAAGGTTGCGTATTTTTATATGTGTCAAATGTGATGATCAGGTGAAGAAAAGACACTTTGGGTGAAAGAAGAAAACTGTGAATGTGACTCGTAGTTGCAAACTAAGTGAGCTTAAATGTGATAGATTCAAATTATGAGTGGTGCGAAATGGTGTGCTCCCTGACTATCGATAATAGCTTCTGTAAGAGAGGCGAAGTGGATTTGCATTTAGCATACGGTGCTGTGGTTATCGACGACAGCATCAACATAATGTCGTCATTGAGTGATGCCCACAGGCGAAACAGTAGTCACATGGACGGGGACAGAAGCTCCTCGGCAGGCTCTTCCTTGGGATCGTGTTCGCCACCGCCTCCCTCGAGTCACTCCCCACCTCCGTCGAGACCTCCTTGGTTACACGACTTCCATGCAGCGGCGTCACCCCATGTTCTTCAGTTTTTAAATCTCAGTGCCGCCGGGGGTGGCATGTTGAACAATCAACCCCTGGCGGCCCTGCATTCAATGGCGGAAAGGAGCCACCACCAGCAGCAGCACGCTGGGATCCAAATTACTGGTGTTTCCGGACAGTCCCAGGACCAAACGTCCCCAACCGAAAGCGGGAAACACAGTCCCGCCAATTCCATTACGTCCGTCGGCAGCAATCCACATGGCATCGACACTATTCTCTCGAGGCCCACTGCCACTCACTCGCAAAACTCTGTCCCAACTCCCCAAGGACTATCGACAACACCTCATCCTCCACATCTCGCTGCACCTCGTTATGCAATGCACACTGGATTTACAACTTCTACAGGTTTCTGTGAATTTCACATTTATTAGTGTCACTATTTATTTGCACACACAAATTTTATCTCCCACCTTCCGGGTCAAGTTTCTTCAATTTATTTTAGGTTTTGAGTTGCCAGACAACCCATTTTTATATTCTTTATATACTGTACAAAAGTGATGGTGGGTTTTACACATATTGCCAAATGAATTTTTCAGCATCAACCAAACGGAAAAGCTATTCGTTTAATTAATTATCTAAAAATCTGTCATCTTCTGTGACAGTTTGTAACATTTGTTATGGTATCTGCTTGTAGTGGAGGAGAATTGGTGAAATGAATATGTTTTTCTTTACAATGGTAAAACATCAGTTTTGCTTATAGGTATACTGTTTTCTTTAAGGTATCAAATTGATATCAAAATTTGAAGATCAACTTACTATTTGATTCAAATATTATTGCTATCAATTCGTTATACAATTGAAGCTCCGGATCTTAAATACCATTTAGGGACAGTTTCTCCAACTCCGATTAAAAGTTAATTAATCATTAAAGTAAATTTAACTTAACCACTCATGATTAGTCGGTTAAGGATTTAATCATTGATTAACTTTTAATCGGTGTTGGTGAAACTGGCCCTTAAACACGGAGAGAAACCATCTTTAGTGTTATAAATACGGACAGCTATCTAGATAGTAACAGTTACCATTAAGATTATGCAGAGTAACATCTTGATAGTACGGGGTAGCATAACTATTTTTTGTAACATCTTTCATGATAGCCAGTAACATAATGATAGTACCCTGTAACATCCTCTTTTTAACATCAACATCTTACTATCCACTTCTCTCAGTGAATCAATGCTATAGCATTGATTCACATATACAAGTATACCCTTTTAAGATTTGAAGCCTAATAAATTTAATACTTTTAGGGATAACTATTCTTTACTTTAAATCAGTGGAATTTCACTGTCAATCAATAAACTTTATTACTCCTTCTAATTGTTCTTTTTAGTGGACAATCTTTCGTTGCTTTCATATGTGAAGTATGACTGATTTTCAGTCAAATATTTACTGATTGAAAGTAAAATTTAACTGAATGGTTTCGTGAACTATACACAATTCACTATTCCGCATCAGTATATTTCACTGATTTCACTTTAGAGTGTTAATTTTTAAAATCAATTCATTTATTCATATATAATACACAATTCATTTTGAAGAAGAACTTTAAAGAGTGCAATTTTTAACGTAAGTTTGATATTAATAAATTAAATTTAAAAGGTTAAAAAATTGAAGTAATGGAGAAGAAATTTGTATGTAATATCTAACGCTTTACAACCCAATCAATTATATATGACCAATGTGAAATCCTATAAAAAGACGTTTATTAAAGCACATTTTATGTCCAATCACTGATAATAAATGTAGCATATCTTTTGTCTTTCTTCGTATAATTGTTAGAGTTGTCCTCATTTTGGGACCTTTGGATTTTGCTTCTTAGGGTTTATAAGGTTCCAAATAAATAAAAATTATTCGAAAACTTTGAAGCTGTTATTTTAATATTAACCGACGTTGCCAAGCGATTTAAATTTCCGCATTTAAAAAACATGGGGTTTTTGACACTAAAAGATTAATTTCTTTATTCCGGTCAAAGTAATTGATCAAAAAAATTGAAACTCAACAATAACCTTATATATAGTACATTGGTTTACGTTAACTATATACTTAACGTAACAATTAGAATGAAATGCGAAAATTAATTATACTAAAAGAATGGCGTTATTCTAAGGTTGAAGTTTGGCGAGTTTCAAATTTTTTGAAGTTTGAGACGAAATAGCAAACATTTGTCAACTTAAAATTGTACTTTTTCCCAATTGCAGAAATTATCTTTGATTTATAGGTCTTTATTCAATTTTCAAAAAGCAAATACCGCGCGTGAATAAGGAATAAAAATTTCAATACTCAAACCCTTTTTAACTTATTGCGTATATAAGGGTGATTAAAATTAAAATGTCATTTTTCATCCTATTAACTTTGATTTTTCGGTGTTGAAATTTAAACTTATCGATATACTTTTTTTGGTTGATTAATTAATTTAATTTTCAGTTAAATAGGTGAAAAACGACAGGCAAAAATTATAAGAAATTTTCTGTTTCCGTTTATTCTTTTCTCAAATAAATTATTCGTACTTTATCGAATCGTAATTATCGGCATAAAAAAATTAAATTTGGCATAAATTTATTAAAAATAAAATAACAAAATGCAAGAAACAGAATTTTGAGGGGACACAACTGACACTTTTTTCACTTCTCAATTTCGAAATAGAAAAACTCTATTATTATTAGTTCAAATCGTTTTGTTTTTTAAAGTGCGTGTAATAACTGAAACTATGTGATACAAAAATAATCAAAAAATTTTAATAATATGTATATTATTTTTTGATAGGGACATCACTGACATGTGCTCGACAAAATGCTACTTGCTTTCTGCCACCATACCGTAAAAACGATTTTAAAAGTTAGTAATACAAATTGAAATAAATATAAAATTTTCTTTAAATCATAATGTCAACATACGGGTTATAATCCGCTTATTTAAAAAATCACAAAGTGAAAAAATGCACCCTTGACGTTATCTTCAAAAAATAATTCAATACTTAATTTGTGATAATTAAACAGTTTTGTTCAATTTTAAACTAAAAAATCCTGAAAAATATCTCACTTGCAAAGCTTATATGTTCGCACTGAAATCGAGGATTTCATACAAGCAATAAACTTTTGAAAATTGTTCCTCTTATATCGCTTAAATTATTTTATAAACAAAAATTATTTTTTTATATACATCATCGTCCTTTTATACTGAGTTCTTAGTTCCCCATTGGGTAAAAACAAATAGAATCATTTGAGCCGCACATATTTGTAATATTTTCAATTACAACCTATAGCTGTAACAGGAGACAATGCATATTTGCATTAATAGTCAAATAAAAACCGGATAAAATCATTCTAAATGTTTTATTGATAGCGCCCTGATTCAAACCGGTCAGATGTATAAATACATAATTATACACCTATTATACTTATAACAAGTTCCGTATATATTAGAAGCCATGCAGATGTAATGTAATCCGCATAATACTATTAAAATTTTTATTATATCTTTTCTTTCTTAGCTCTCTGATGAAATCTGTTTAAATACACACAAAACCCGCAAGTGTAATTTGGTTATCAAATAATGGACGGATAGGGCCGTTTTATCGAAAATATATATTTCTTTCTTTTTGGACAGGTCCTTTCTAAGTGCGTTCAAGACAAATATATACTTTATTATTTAACAAGGGGTAATGGTTCTTGAATTCGTGATTTCGATTTGTTTGCGTTTTGCGGTATAAGCTCGAGTGCTACTCTCAATAAGCGGCTGTTATGCGACGCACGCGGTTGTTATCAAAGGCGCGCTTCTGTTGTATAGCTACTACTCTCTAAATATGAATTGGTAGAAAGTTACTAATGAAATGATGAAAAGTCATTCACCAAATGATTTGCTAGTAATTTTACTAGCACTTAGTGATATTATTCTAAGTGTTATAGTAAAATTTTATTAACAATTGGTAGAACTGTTTTATTAAAAGTCGATAAACAGTTTCACAAATTAGTGAAATTCTACTTAAAAATTAAGATCTACTGACAAATGGTGAAATTTTACTATACTTGTAGTAGATTTCTAGAAATTCGGATTTAGAGATATTCATCAAACTGTAAAATAAATTTCAAATTAAAATTTTTGAAAGTATTAAAAATAAAAAAAACAATACAGGTCTGTGTTATTAGCCTAATTCGTGATTCGTTTAAACATAAAAAATGTTGAACGCTTAATATAACTGGTACAATTTATAGAATTATAACTTTGATGAAAATTTTTAAAAAGAATGAAAAAATGAAAAAATTTCTTTTAAACTTACTTCACTATTTAGCTATACATCAAAATTTTTACTGCGAAATTATAGCACATACTTGGTAAATTTCCATTAAAAACCTCACGTAAACTTTCTGAAGAACGTTGTGATACTCGGATGTGCGTCATGATGAATCATAAACGATGTTTGGCGTTTGACTCTTTGTCATTGAACGAAGGGTGTTTTATTTGAGTGGATACGAGAGTAATTTTAGTGTTATGTCAGAATCAAGAAAAACAAAAGTAAGGTGTTACAATATTAGTAATTTGAAAATAGAATTCTGCATAAATTTTCGCACTAAAAATATTGAAGCATCACTTATAGCATTTTAACATTTTAAACACAACTTGAAAGGGAAACGTTGAGATGCTGTTCCACCAATTATCATTTATCATCTGCTGTCATTTTGCGGTCATTTTTTAACAGAAAAGAAAAAAAACAGTACGAAAGCGAACACACGTAATGTACTGGGCAACCTTCGCCAAAGATATAGATGCTGACAGATGACGACAGCTATGTGACCATCGACTCGCATCTCGACGTTTACCTTCCCCATTCTAGACTCTACTTTAATGGCAACAGAACAGATGCTTACTCTACACATGAAAATACGTGGTCTCAATTATTGGCGACTAAACATAAACGAAAGAATATATATCCACTGGGGTTTTCTCATTTCTTTTAATTTTAGCTAATGTGCATTACTATCTTTACATAAATTATTACGATAATATAATTTTTTAAATTAGATTTTTAATTTTTAATAAAATTCTTTTTGATAAATTATTATAAATACGTAAAAATCTTCTTCAATGAAAGTAATATCTTTTTTTTGCTTATAGAATTTTGGGAAATCTGCCTACATATACCTTGGATTCCACACTTCAAGGTTATGTAGGGTTGGTATAATAAAAAAGAAAATATAAAACAAAATTTACAAGGTTCACTTAAACCAGTTTACTCGAACGTTTTTCGGGTCGCTGATTACGTATCTGAAATTACATTTCAAAAATTCATAATAGCTGATTCAATATGGCGGACAAGTTTTGTAAAGATTCATCGGATTCATTCG